TGCTGCAGTGACTCTCTCCTGCTCCCCGATGACTGTGGGGGGGCGTGCCTGTTTTTCTCGTTGGTTATGATGTTGTATGAAATGCGGAAAAAAGAAAATGAGCGGAAAAGTATGCAGGCTGATGTGTTTTTTTAGGAGCTTGTGAAAAGAATGATCGCGGGAGAGCTGGCTAACATAATTGATGTATGTGTTTATCCTGATAAATGAATGCATTCTTTATGATACCTTCTACCGTATGAATCTTTTGGGAAGAACGCGACTTTGTAGGGGCAGGGAGCCGATAGAGGCCAGATAAAATTTTAATTTTATTTTGCCACCCCACCCACCCCTTTTGGCTCCCACCACGCGGCGGGGTCTTGTGGTTGGAGGACCCCAAAGTCTGCCACTTCGTAAGTAATAATATTCAAATCCTAACTGAGGACGAAGGACCATGCTAGTGGTCCACAGAATTCTATATATTGAATGAGAATAAAACATTGAAGCAATTAACTAACGAAACTTTTTTCCTAACTTGTTTGGTTTCCATAAATAATTTCAGGATCCGGCCAGCTGCCCGGAAGATTATTATGTATCGATATGTTTTTTTTTGGATTACTCTGGTGGTTCCTCCTGTCTCCTTTTGCGTTGCTCCACACGTGTCTCAGTGTTTGCTTTAGTACGGCCACACACGGGTAGCTTGAGCCGCGAATAGTTTTTTTTTTGATGTCATTTTGTGTTATACGCTGACGCGGTCACGTTCGGCAAGCATCCACTTTCCACAGCATGGCGTTTGATATTTTGGAGTCATCTCAGATGTAACGCCGGCACCACCGCCGTGGCACTCATGGGGATTAGGATGGAACGCGGGACAGCGAAAGATATTGTGCTGCACATGTGTCTGTTGCATTTGTTCTGTTGGGGAGGTCTTCAATGTAGAAGAAGAGGGATGAACATTGCACGACTCCGTGGCTTGGAGGAGTTATTATCCTTTTTTTGTATGATCTTTGGTTCCCGCCCGTGTCTGCCGCGATTGCTTCCCCTGAGTGGAGCTGCGCCATGGCCATCCTTATTATTATTTTTTTGGTTGTTTGCAGGAGGAAAAACACGTTGCGAGTGACGAAACCACACTTCATTGCATGCGGCGTCCAGGGAGGTACGTATTTGAGGTGGGGTGCACATATGTGGATGTCACGTGAGAAGGAACGGGGGTTGACTGCCCAACCGTCACTCCTTTTCTGGAGAGTGTGCTCCTATTTTTTTTTGTTGTTGTTGTCCTTTTATCTCAGGGCACGGCGGGATTGGAGGCCACTGCCCCACGAAGTTCCTTGCGCACATACACACTCTCATGCCACTGTCGCCCCCGGAGTGGGGTGCAAATCCAATTTTTGCTGCTTTTGCATTGGCGCAATTATTTTTATTTATTATTGGCTGACGCCACACTGTCCGGCGTGTCACTTTGATTGGATTGTGTGGGACTGCTCGCCAACACCATCGAACGAAGCAGGCCGACGACTTCCCGTATTTGAATGCCATCTTGCACGCACGTATTTTTTTCACTTGTTCAGTTGACGTGCACTCTGGCAGCGAGGGATTTGGAACTATGCGTGCGTGGAATTCTTCCTTCCATGTGGACTGCGGGCAGCACCGAGGGGCTGTCAATTTAACTCCGCAGAGTTGTTGTGTCTCTTCGCAGGGCTGGCAGGGAAATTCCATGCAGCCAGCTACTGCTGTTGTGTCCCCAAATGTTGCCACTCCATGCAAATAATGTGCTTCAGCGAGTGAGGGGGATGATTGGGTTTGTGTGCACTCTGATTGTGTTTGCTGCCTTGTGCGGGCACGCAACACCTGAGGGGTGGGAAAATGGAGCGGGGCGGTGCATGGCTGCGTTCCGCCCATTGCTCACTGCACGGTGGTGCGGTGCGCATTGTGGTGTTGACTCTGCGATGTGACTGCGGTCTCCTGCGCGGCAATGGCGGTGGGTGGTCGAGAGTGTTGGGCCGCGGCGGGACGGTGGGATCGTGCCTCCTTTTATTCTTTTGTGAAGGTGCACACTTATTTTTAGTGTTAGTGATGGGGCAAACAGACGGACAACGTGAATAAAACAAAACAGAAAAGGGCAATAATGTGGCGGTGTTGTTGCCAATTGCACGTTTTGTTGCTGCGGAGGCGGTGGGCCTTAGCTGTTTTGCCGACAGGCGTTGCAGTGCGGCTGCATGGCGCACCGACCGCCCCGCCGTGCGAGCGCCACGCCCAACGCCATTGGGACTGCGGGAGGAAACAGCCGCGACTGCCCATTGGAGCCAGCGGCACCTGTGTTGGCTCCGATGCTACAGCTCAACATTTGCTGGGGAGTAAAGAGTGACCGCGGTGGACTCTTGACAGTCTGGTGGAAGATCTAATGCTGGACGGAGATACTCTGAGAACCAGCTTTAGGCTTATTTTTTTTTTTTGAATTGTATTGGCTCCAGGGCGACCGTTGATGAAAGACCACAATGCGACGGGGGAGATGTTTATTCGGAGACTCGATGCTTACGTAAAAGGCCGGCAGCTTCTTGAGGGAATTCTTAATTTGACAGACTACCGGGTGTAAAAACTTCTTCGCGAGGGTGTGTTCTTTCCTCGTCAATGGAGGGACTATGGGAGGAAGGACACGATCAATTTCCGAGCAATGCAAAAACTTGATTCAGCTCTTGAAATGCCAGACGGATACTCGGAGCAACGAAAAAAAAAATCCACCCTTGTAACTACGATTGAAGATGTACTGTCTAAAAGAAAAGTTCGTGTCATGGACCGAAGGCTGAATGAGCTTCTTAATAGGAGATTTGATGGCAGGGGCTTTGTGGACGCCAATCGGAAATTCTTGCAGGAGGGGTTTTTAAGGACCCCGAGAAGTATATTTGCGATGCGGGAGTATTGGGCGAAATGCAGGCATCCGATCGTTATGTGATGATGGAGAGGGCTGCAAGGGATGAAATGGACATGGCAGAGGATTTACACAAGCTTTACGAGCATGGTGTGGACAAGTTACTGAAGTGGTTGGTGGCGGCTGCGGGGTATAAGCAAGTGTTCATGGAGTTACTAAAAGGTTTTTGGATGCAGCCGCCGAGGAAGCGAGGAGCCCAACGAAGTCGAGTGCACCGAGGTACCTGGAGGGATGCTACGAGTCTGTGCACAATGCGAGGTGGAGCCATGTGGTGGAGGTCCGTGGCGGCGAGGGGACGGGACTGGAGATGAGGGAAGGGGAACCACCACAGCCTTGGACGTACAAGGCAGTTGGCGACTCTCTCGAAAAGGATGACGGTGTGGAGCAATCCGGTGCAGCACGTCCCAGGCTGATGGTGCTCACCTCGGACAAGGGATGGCCGTACTCGTGGAATCGTAAGGGGGCGGAATCCACTCGTGGCTGCTATGTGAACTGTGAGGTGGAGCGAGTGTGGCAGATCGTCAGCGGCGATCTCACCGAGTGGTTCAGCCCTGACGCTGGGGACTACTTTACGCCCAAGCGGCGTCTGTTGATTGGGACGCCCGGGATCGGGAAGTCGATGGCTGCCGGCTCGTACCTCCTCTACCAGCTGCTGCAATACGACGTCGAGAAACTCCCAGTGGCTGCCTACAGTGTTGGTGGAAGTACGACGTAAGTGTCTGACGAGACCATCAAGACGGTGTCGGAATAGAGGAGCAATACAACGTCCAAGAGAGTTTTGTATGGTTTGTGGTGGCGTGGGATGAAGGGGTATATCATATAGGATGTGACAGAGGAGGGAACGCCGCCAGCGAGTTGTTTTGCGTTTTTTGATGAATGGGGCATGATTGTGGTGTCCTCCCTAGAGGTTAGGAACTATGGTGAATGGGTGAGGCAAGTAAGAACCGCGCGAGTCATCATGAATTGCCCCGACGAGATGGATGTGAAGGCGATGTGTTCATGGACGAGGCGTGACGAGACTGCGGAGAAACAGGCGGAATGCTGGAAAGAGGTCAAAAAACACATGTATCTTTTGGGACCGATTCCACGTCACGTCTTTGATGAGGAGGCGTTTAGTGGACGCTGTGGAGCGGTGGAGTTTGCATTGGAATTGACCAACGACGTAACTGTGAAAGAGTGCTTTCCACGGGGAGGTGAGTCGCCACGGTATTCTGAGGACCCGTCCCACAGGCTTGTGAAGGTTGTTCGGGAAATATACGCAGGCGGTGTGAGCCTTTTCAATGCACCGATATCTGACTACCTCGAGGAACGGACATTGGGACGCCTCCCAAGTGTAGCAGAATAAAATAGTTTTTTGAGGCTGATGTTGGCGTCGAAGGCTAATATTTTGCCCATATTTTTTGGATGGTTTGCGTTGAACTCGTTCACGGAGGGTGCCTTTGCCAAGGCAATAGCGACGGAACCCACGGAGCTTGAGCCGCCAACAGGACGTCAAGCAAAGCCCTGCGTTTTGTAGTTGGCCCCTGAATTGCATCCCAAGGGAGATGAGGGTTTGTTGCCGAGTGAAGATGGGAAAAAAAAAGGAAAACGGACCGCAAAATAAAGTATCGGCTGCTGTGCATACCGGCGGTTGGAAAGTTTTTGCTGGTGGAAGTCTCTTTTCTTTTTGAAGCCAAATCCAATGACGCTGGTTGGGCTGCGGTTGGCTACGGCGCATGCGCATCACACCACCGTCAGGACTGTGTGGCAGTTCACTGAGTGCCTGGCGGCGTATTTTAATGGTTGGGAGGAATCATCCCGAGACATGTCGTGGGAGATGATTTACGTGCAGCACGCAGACAGCACGCCGATGGATGGCTGGCGGAGATGTGATTTTGTCCACCCCGAGAGAGTGTGAGCGACGCGGAAGGCCGTGAAATGGCGGTGCTTTGGAAGGAAAAGGTGCGCCAGTACCAAGTGTCAATATCATCCGAAGACTTTTTAAGAGACGAAGCTCAC